AAGAAAAAAAAAACCTAATCACATATCCCTTTTAAACAGTTTTCTCCCTCATCTGTTTCAATGCAGTATACATTATTTATCATCTTTCTCAGTCTCTCCCCCAACCCCGATGTCAGTACCGTTTTACAACAGTGGCACTATATAGTATTTGTCCTTTTGTGACTGAAATATTTCACTCAGCATAATGTCCTCCTGGGTCACCCATTTTGAATAATATTGCACGAGTTCCTTGTTTTTCAATGCAGTGTAGTATTTCATTGCGTGAATATACCACAGCTTCTCTATCCATTCATTTGTTGATGGGCACTTGGGTTGTTTCCAACTCTTTACTATTATGAACAAAGCTGCAGTAAACATGGGTGTGCATATATCTGCCTGGATGTCAGTTATGGTCTCTTTGGGGCATATCCAAGTAGTGGAATTGCTGGGTCAAATGGTTTTTCTATTTGCAACTTTTTGAGAAAGCACCATACTGCCCTTCCTTCCATAGTGGCTGCACAATTTTACACTTCCACCGACAGTGAATAAGGGTTCCAGTTTCTCCACAACCTTGCCAGCATTTATTGTTTGCTGTTCTGTTAAATTTTGCTATTCTTACTGGAGTGATTTCTCTTAGAGCTAGGGATTTTGAACATTTCTTCACATGATTGTTGGCCATCTGAATGTCTTCTTTGGTGAAGTGTCTGTTCATATCCTGTGCCCATTTTTCAATTGGATTGTTTATCTAGTTGTGGTGAAAAGTGTTTTTTTTTAAAAAAGTGTTTTTTTCTAATGGAGAAAAAGACACATAGTGTCATTATCATCTAGTTAATGAAATCAGCAACTCTCAATTGGTCCTTGGATCTGATGTTGTTAATAATGTCCTCTTATAATTATATGAACAATCAAAATTTCTTACATACCTAAAAACAAACTATAAATATATTAAAAGATACGCTATATTTTATTTTTCATAAATATTGCCAAAGTGGTCTTCAAAAATTTGTTACAATCCCATGTAACAGGACAAAGAAGTATACGCCATTAGCAGTGGAATCCAGTAAGTGAATGCATAAAAGTAAAACTGTTAGGTGTGAGGTGTTAAGGGTTTAGAGAGCAAAATGACTTTCCATTGACTGACTTTGCCATATGACAGGGATATGTAAACAGGTTATGTTAGCTTATCCACAAAGGGGACTGGCTAGTCTCACCACTAAAGTGAACAGATTTCAAAGCAGATTTTGATAATTTATCACCAGCATAGCAGCAACAGGGAAAGCAGTGTGTGCCCTTTGGGCCAGATTCTTGAATGAGCCAGACCTATTAAGAGAGCAGCAACAGCCACAGCAGAGATCCAGAGACCCAATGTGAAACAGAGCTGAGCTCTGTTTGCTATGGAACCAGAACAAGGGGCCCTTGCCCAAGCTTACTGGAGAAATTAGGGGAGACACTATAATTGGCAGGAATAATAGAGCTTTATAAAATTGGCCTAAAGTTGCAAGGCTAATGGGCCTGATTGTAAGGAAGACAGATGATCAGGAAATCAACTCATAGCTGACTGAGAAATTGTATCCAATTTAACTTCCCTAGTGAACTCTCTCTCCAACTGTGAGTTCTGTGTGATCTCTGAGCTACTGCAACAGATAACAGACTCAGTAGCCTAGTTAAGACTGGTGTTGAAATTTGTAGAAATAGGTGAGTGAGCACGTGAAACATGTCTGAATGGGAATTGGTTTGTGTTGTGGATGCAAATGATGGGGCAGCTCGTCCTGTGGAGTTAGTCAAAGTCAAACTCGGCTATCCCCATGATGTCCTTGCTCCTTTTACAGGTGCCATGAAGCCAACTCTGACTCAAAGCAACCCTATGTACACCAGATCAAAATCTCCCCTAATCCTACATCTCCTTCACAACTTCCTCTGTACTTAAACCCATGTGTGTTACTGTGTCAATCCATCTTACTTAGGGTGTTCCTCTAACCATCCATCATTTCAAGTATGACATCCTTTTATCCTCCTTACAACATGTCCAAAGTATATGGCATGAAGTTTCATAATCTTTGCTTCTAAGGAGTATTCTGGCTGCATTTCTTCAAGACAGATTGGTTTGTTCTTTAGTCAGGCTGTATGGTATGTTCAATACTCTTCACGATCCCTACAATTCAAAGGCATCAACACTTCTTAAATCATCTTATTTTACTGTGCAATTTTCACAACTATATGAGTCAAAATCATTGCTACTTAGTCAGAACCCAAATCACAGCTAACTTTCCTGTGGATTTTCAGATACTGCAAATCACAAGGGGAGGGAAGTTCCCTATCTTTCTCCCAAAGAGTGGTTGGTGGTTTTTAATCAGCAGAGGGGTGACACATAGTCTTTCAGCTAGCTCCATGGAGTCTATTATCAGAGGAGAAAATACCATGGCTTGGGTCAGTAATTCTAGTCTTTAAAATGACGTTCTTGCACTTGAGCACTTTAAAGAGGTCCTTGACAGTACATCTGCCCAATACATCTTTAGTTTTCTGGCTTGCTGCTTCCATAAATGTTGATTGTGGATCTAAATAAAATGAAATCCTCAACAACAACTTCAATCTTTTCTGTATTTCACAACACGCTGCTTACTGGTCCAGTGATGAGAATTTTTCTTATCTTTATATGGAGGTATAAAGGCTGTATCATCTTCTTCAGTAAGTGCTCTCAAGATCTCTTAACATTCAGCAAGCAAGACTTTGTCATTTGTGTAATACAGAATATTGAAAACTTTCCTCTGATCCTAATGTCACATTCTTTATACACTCCAATTTCATGAATTATTTTCTCATTAAACAGAATAGATAGTAAATAGATTCAACCCCGGTGCACACTGTTTCCAAGTTTAAAGCATGTCATATTGGATTCCCGTTCTCTCACATTTTACACAGGTGATCAGGATGTCTTTCCTGGAGAAAAACATCATACTTGATAAAGTAGAAGGACTGAGACAATGGCTGCAATCATGGGCTTAAAGTAGAGATTGTAAGGATGACAGAGGATCAGGAAATATTTCTATAGATAGGGTACCTATGAGTCAGAACCAACTCAAAAGCACCAAGCAACGCAATTTGATATTAGTCATAGATTAAAAGTAATTCATTACATATAATACAGTGTAAATTAATAATTATATAAAACACAATATGCATGAACGAAACACAATATAAATGAAATATTGGAAAAAACACAATGCACATGCATGAAACATAAGGTATGTGAATGATTATATGCAAACCAATAAAAACATGAAAAAAAAGAAAACATTCAATTTCTACAGAAAATTGTTCATTTAATGACATTTTTAACACTTTTAACATTTACTTTATAAAAAGGATTCCAGTTGGAAGAAATAGATTTTAAAACTTACCTTGACTTTGAGCCAGATGGAGAATTTTTGATGTAACATATCTGGCAGTTTCTGATTCTGCAGACTCAGTATTGATCTTCTCCAGCTGATTCAGAAGTCCCACAATCCGAGAATTATTGGTAAGGCTAAAATAATGGTTAATTTATATTAGATCATATTTAATGTCAATGCAAACTCAATGCATAAAAATTTTGTAAAACTCCGGCGCTGGCTGAAAATCGCCTGTGACTTCATCCATAGCCACTGGTGAGAGTCAGCGCCCAG